GCAAAGGAAGGAATATGCCAAAACAGAAAAACTGGCGGAGGAAGGAAAATGGTGTCACCCAGAAAACAAACCAGCTAAGTAACCCAAATTATCTCATATTCCCGTGATTTTGCGATCAACTCAATATAAAATCACTAAAATAATTTGAGCCAATAATTTTTTTAATATTTTAATCTATCAAATAATTTTTTGATAATATTTAAGAGTTACTTTTTCAATATATTCCTAAAAATCATAATTTACACATGAAAAAAATTCTCCTATACTAAACATTAATATTTTTCAAGAATCAAAATTTCGACTTTGGGATTAAGCAGTCATTTTTAACCACCGTAACTAATACCCATAGGTTCTATTCATATTTTTGTATACTTGATAGTTAAGCACTTAAAAGCTCATATATAATGTATTTATACTTTTTTTTATACGTTAATTAGTTTTAATTACTTAATACAGTAATAAAAATAAAGAGAAAAATATTATACATTTTTTTTAATACAAAAATATTATACATTTAATGTATTAAGTTATAGGTTCCAACCTAATACCACCTTTGTATCCAAAAAAAATAAGGGTTAAATATTTATCATTTTAAATGATATAACTTTGTGTTATTTTTAAGAAAATTAAATCGTTTTGGTGTGTTTTTGGTATGTTTTTACATTTTTTTTATAAAATTAGAAAAAAAAAAGAAAATGAAAGAGAGAGAATACAATAATACACCAAAATAATATCATTTCATTAAAAATGAAACAAAATTGTGTCATTTAAAATAATAAATATTCTTCCCAATAAATATATTATACATTGATTGTTTTATTATTAGTTCAGTAATCTTGTATAAAAAATAATAAAATTAGAGTTTAACCTTTATTTATCATGAATGTAACATTTATAATATAAAAGAGTTTTATATTAATAGCAAATAGGATTAAATTCAAAATATTGTCATTGCTTTTTTTTTTTTAACAACATTAAAATCGCAAAGCTAAAAAAAATTAGAAACACATGTCAAAATTCAAATATTCTCAAGTGCGGCATAAACGAGGAGGAGAAGAAATATAGTGCTCATGGCCCGTAAAATTTGGGGTGCTCCTTCTCACAAAACAGGCGGATAAAATGGGAAAAGAAAAAAATAAAAGGGGTAAAAATAAAAGAAAAAATTCACTCATGTGAAAGAGATCACCAAATAATAAATTAAGCCTGGATCACTTAATTATTTTTCATCGGGGGAGAAAAAATATAGTGCTTCTGACCCATAACATTTCGGGTGCTCCTTAGACAAACCGTGACATTGGACCACGCAGCATTTTTATTTTAGAAAATTTTATGATATGATACAATGTCTCTCTTGAAAACACCGTCCATTGTCTTTGCCTGATGGAGAAAATTATTGTTAAGAAATATAATAAAATTATTAGTGTATTTTTATACTAAACTTTTGGAAAATTTAGTTACGTTATCATTATGAAACCAAGTGTAGAATATTAGACATCTGGTCTATATATGTGAGTGATTTTACATTTTTTTTTTTAAATATTTCATCGATTTATCACTTCTCCACTAATTCGATTTGAAACTTTTAAAGATGATATTGTGGAGAATCAAATATATGTTCTTACCCTATCTGCTCAGCTCTCGTATATCAGAGCTACTACCACCATTTAATTGATTTTACACTATTATATCTCATTTTACGTGAGATAAATAACTCTCCTACACACACAAAAAAGAATTGAGTCCTACCACTCTCTTTTTTCTCTTCTCTTATTTGTGGATCTTACTTATATTTTTATTTTTGTAATATGAGATAATTTTTTTCTACAACGTAAAAGAAATATATCGCATTATTTAATTATAAGTATCGTTGTACCCTTCCTAACTTCATTTGGATTGGCTCTTTCTTTTGGATTCCCTAAGTCATTCAACGTTTCACATCAAAGGATTGAAAGTTAAAACTGCACCGACACGGGATACGGGATATGACACGACACGATATAATATTTCGATACGTTAATTTTAAAAATTATTAAATTTTGATACGTTAAGACACGTTTTGATATTATATAATATTTTTTATTTATATAGTGTATATTATATTTATTATTCAATGATTAAAAAATATAAACTTATAATATCCATTAATTTTATAAAGAAACATAAGATATTCCAAATGTTTACTTTCAATAAAATAATAATCGTAATCCAACGAATCTAATAGTTAGAACTCAAAATGCAACACTTTTGAAATTTTTTTGAATCTTTACAATAAATATTAGAACGTCATTAAATGTCAGAGTGTAAATAAGTGTTAAAAAACATCCGACACGACACTGACACATGATCTTACCTGAGATCGCAAATCCCAAGTTTGTCTATGAAGAGCAGATCTAATTAGATTAGTGTCTATAATAGATTTCTTTTGTATAATACTAATCGATAGTCCGAGTCAAATAGCAATGATTCGAAGCATTTTACACTATTTCAGAAAACAACAACGATTAATTACGATTGCTATAAAACAAGCTCGTATTTTATCTTCGTTACCTTTTCTTAATAATGAAAAACAATTTGAAAAAATCAAAATACATAATTATCTTGAATATATTAACTATTTCTTTCTTTTCCGATCGCCTGGAAAGAACAAAAGAAACATCTTGTTCTTTCTTCAACAATTCCTGATCTCTAGTGGTTCGATATTCTGGTGTCCTAGGCGTAGAGGAACCACACCAATCCATCCCGAACTTGGTAGTTAAACTCTACTGCGGTGACGATACTGTAGGGGAGGGCGAGGTTCAAATGAGGAAAGGCTTATGGTGGATACCCGTATGGGTTCGGGAAAGGAATCCCCCGAATATTGGATGTATTGATGATGAGTATATAACGCAGCCTAGACCTACTACACCGAAAGTTTTCTTCTCTTTGGGGTCATTTGGCAATTGGCAGTCATCTTTGGGAATGTTCACAAGTCCGGCTCCGCCCGCCGTGCTCACACGATATGCTAGCAGTTTTAGATGTTTCGTACATAATATTAAAGGTAACAAAAATAAACTAATACAATATTACAATTTAATAGTTTTTTAGTGTTAATATTATATTTTATTATTTATTCAAATGTTTATATATTAAAATAATAGCTTGATTGTGTATTAAGAAATAAGATTAGGACCCAATAGGTGCAGCTCAGTTGGTAACTTGGCGCTGAGTTAGTGGGGTTAGATATGTGTTTGATTCCCGCTGAATGCATTCTTGGGGAGAGGGCTGAACCTTTAGCCATCACTGTTCCCCCGCACTCTGGATTAGTCTCATAGCCGGCTCAAAGAGTCGAAGCTCGTGGGGATACCGGAGGGAGCCAACTCGTCTGAAAGAGATAATTAGGGTTGAGTAACTCCAAAAAAAAAAAAATAATAAGATTAGGTTTGATTGAATTTGATGTATAAACTTAGAGGAGCATTATTTTGACAATATGTTTTTGCTTATAATTTATTTTTTCACTGTTGATAATCCAACACTTGTAAATGTAACCCAATAAATCATAATTGTTGAATTGATGGAATTTAACGATAAAAAATAAGTTGTAAAATTTTTAGATTATAAGAATAATACTCCTCATAAACTTGCATGAAAAAAAATTCATTAAAGCCTTAATTAGTCCAAGAGTTGTTGAGTCTAATCACACTTGGTTGAGTATGATCTAGTTAAAGACTAGGATGAGATCCAATGGGGTGATCTTTGTTGAGAGATGATTGTGCTCAAGTTGGAGAGCTTTGTTTGCCCGGAACAAATGGGAGGAGTTACCTGCAAGTTAGTTCGACACTCAAGTCAATATTTGATCAATGAGCATATATATAATGAATAAGATGTTCATACTTGGACTTTTTAAGCCTTTATTATATAATGGTTGAGTGGCCTACTTATGCTGTTTTAGTGTTGTGGCACTTAATCTCATCGGTGGGCTCAAGTGACTTTTACAACCTATCTTGTGTGCAAGATGTTTATTTGTGGACTATGCCTAAAAAGGCATAGCAAAAATCACATGTCTATCCTTTATCCATTGACTATTAGGGAGGCCGAGGAATTCTAAGCTACTACCGTCAGTTGCACATAAGCGAGATAGACACATTTCCTACTCTTTAAGTTTTTGTTATTGGGCCTATTAGGCCATAAATGAATTGGAATATATATCCCACTTAGCATGGGTTGAGATCAAACCTAAACTTGTGGACTACAAATTGTATGCTCTTAGATACACCATGCCAATTTCTCAAATATGTAGAATTAATCATCATAATTCAATTCTTGTGCCGGTATATTAAATATCCAAAGACCAAAAACTTCTTATTTTCACATTGGTATAAGAATATCTTCCCCACTCACACACACACGTATATATATAAGATGATTATACTTACTATTCTTTTAGACTTATTATTTGATTGGTTACCGTGAGGTCAATTTGAAATCAACAGTTAAAAAATAGAAAAAATTAATTGATGTTGATTTTAAATTAATTCAACGGTAACAAATAACGTAGTAAGAATAGTAAAACTAAAATGATAATAAGTATAATATTTTCTTCTATAAAAAAATCAAAATTATATAAGAATTTCGATATGCAAGATATATATACATATATTTTAATTAGTAGATATAGACCAATGAACCCAATTGAAAGACAGAAGTTGACATTGCTTAATTATCATCGATCATGAACGTAAAAGGACATTATTAATTTATTTAGTAGATATACAACGAGAACAGAGAGCCCACGTGGAAGAATAAAGAGGTCTTTCAATGACAAATTTGGTGACGGCCCAACCCAATCGAAGGTTGGGGTAGTTTTATATATAAAAATAAAAAATAAAAAGTAAAAAATAAAAAAAATGTAAGGTTGAAATGAACGTGGTATATGAGGGGTCCACTTCTATTGGCACAGTTGTTAACCCCTACAAATTCCACCTTCCCTTCCCACTTCACACACTCAAAACTTACCAGTTACCATTTTCGTTTCCTTCTTTCTTTCTCCCACTATGGCACAGGTTCAACTCCTTCTAATTCATTCCTTCTTCTATATGTCTCTTCATCTTCCATTCTTAATTATGTTAATGCTAACTCCTCTGATTGTCTCGTCTCATCTCATCTTGTCTAATTACCAGAAGAAGAAAATCGATGGCGAAAACAACAAAAAAGATGAAGGAGGAAACAACGAGAAGGAGCAAAAGCAAACCCTTACCCCTACCACTGTAGTGTTGAAGGTGGACATGCATTGCGACGGTTGCGCTTCCAAAATTGTTAGGTGCCTTCGCGGTTTTGAAGGTTTCTATCCCCAACTAACTATTCCTTCTCCTTTTTTTTTTTTTTTTTTCTCTTTCCTTTAATGGTGTTTTATTTATTTATTTATTTACTGGTTTTTTTTATTTTTTTTTTGTTTTTGTTTTTTTTCCACTTAAACTGAAGCGTTGAAATTGAACCTTCTTGTTGAAGGCGTGGAGAGTTTGAATGCAGAGAGCGACACCGGAAAAATTACCATCACCGGAAAAGTGGACCCCACCAAACTCAGGGACAAGCTCGCCCACAAGATGAAGAAGAAAGTCGACCTCATCTCGCCCCTTCCCAACAAGAACAAGGAAAACAATTCCCAGAATAACAACAAAAAACACAAAGAGGTGATTTTATTTTATTTTATTTTATTTGAAGAAATTTATAGTTATAACTTTTTTTTTATAACATTTTACAACCATATCTTACCACAGTTCATTTTCGTCAATCAACAGTTATTATTTATTGTGAATTAATAATTAATTAATGAGTTTAATTTGCGAAAATCATAACTTTGGTGGGCAGAAATCAACAATTGGATGATTTTTGATGATTTTATTTTTTGATCAATGAAACAGACACCTGTGACGACGGTGGTTCTGAAGGTGGCGCTGCACTGCCAAGGATGCATTGAAAGGATTCGCAAGACTGTGTTGAAGACAAGAGGTGTTTTTATTATTAACAATTTTTTTTTTTTTTTTTTTTTTTTATAGATTTGGATTTGATTTTGTTGACGCGTTTGTAACGGAATGGTGTGGAGTAGGTGTTCATGACATGGCAATAGACAAGGAGAAAGAGACGGTGACGGTTAAGGGCACGATGGATGTGAAAGCTCTGGTGGGGAATTTAATGGAGAGGCTTAGAAGGAAGGTTGAGGTGGTTCCTCCCAAGAAGGAGAAAGAAAGTGAGAAAGAGGGTGGAGGAGCGAATGACGGCGCCAAGGAGAAGAAGAAGGGTGGCGGCGGCGGCGGAGGAGGAGGAGATAATGACAAGGGTGGTAAGGGCGGAGGTGATGGCCTGGGGAAAATGGAGCAGAGCAGGATGGAGTTTTTGGCACCTACATTTGGTTATGGTTATGGTTATGGCTATGGCTATGGCGATGGCTATAACTATGAGCCGGTCTACATGGGGCAATTGCATGCACCCCAGATGTTCAGCGACGAAAATCCGAATGCTTGTTCCGTTATGTGAGGTTATGGGCATATCCATGATTTTTTATCAAGATTTAAAAAGATATCATTTATTAGAGAAAATTTTGTGCTTAGTATATAGGAAGGGCTTCTTGTTATGTGATTAATCAATGTTGTTCGCATCTTGTCGTATCAATTTGAGGCTTTGTTATTTTTAGGATATGATGTATAATGTAAATGATAAAATGGAATCTCTCTGTCCCACTTTGGTTGCTTTGTGTTAAGAGAATTGATTTGCTTAGCTAGCTGCCAATACTCTTGATGATTTTATGATTGGGGTTGGGAAGATGAACAGAAACCCGCGCTCATGTCCTTATTATTAGGTGTTGTCATGATGGTGATGAAGAGGTTCATTTTTGGCTCATTCCACTAGTAGTTTCTTGGCTGTCCTTTCTATTTTGTATAGTTTGTCCCATTCATCGGGTCAGGGCCATTTCCTTGATGCCAGGTTCGTTAGTGGAGTTTGAACCTGCTGCCATGAGCATGGAGGACAGTCAGTGGGGCCATTCAATTGCTTTTTTCCACTTATGTTACCAATTTGGCTCCTTCCTAGTTTTTCATTTGCAATTCCACTCTTCACTACTGCTCTGCTGAATGCAAAGTTGCAAATAAACAATTGGGCACATGGGGTCAGATTGTAACTGGCATCATATTGCAATTGCATTGAGGCAGCGACAATTCCTACTTTGCTCCCTCGTAGAATTGACGCATACTATAGTACAGGCCGCTCAGTTGCTCGTCACTCCTCAGCATGGTTTATGTTCAGTGCAGGGCAGGGCAACCAGAAAAATAAAATAAAATAAAAAATTCCATAATAGAAATTCTTCGGCTACGACTCTGAATAATCATGTAGTCGTGTCAAGCTTTTTAGTTAGGGGCGTTTGGTTAGAATTTGTTTTTGAAATAGTAAGGAAATGATAGCGAGAGAAATGATTGGAAAGATAGATAAAGTGAGATAGGTAGAAAAATGTAAAAAAAAAGTTGTTTGGTAGGAAAAAATTTTACTGGAAAAATTAGGTAACTTTATGAAATCAACAGTGCATTAAAAGTCAGATAACCGGTTTTCCGAAAAATCCCACCTTCAAATTGGGTTTCTAAACAGTGCGGATATCTATGTTTCTCATAAATACAGACAAATTGGATAGATGAGTTTTTGGTGAAAAACGTTGAAACAAACATGGTGTTTCTAAAAGCCTCACTTGAGAAAGATAGATATCCGCTGAAAAGCTCCCAACCAAACACCACCTTAAGGACACTACAAAGTACCACAACTGATACAATATCAACCATATATGGTGTTTTCATGTATGGATCAGTTTACTTCAAAACTCCTTAATCATCGGACGAGTATATCTTAATCATCTATCAAGTACAATAAAACTGTATTTTTTTGCAATGCCAAAAAAAGTATTTTTTGGCATAATAAATATTATGAATGATGTATGGATTCCCTTTTTGACCTAGCCTTCCCCCCCCCCCCCCCCCCCCCCCCTCCTTTTATTTAGGCAGAAAAGGAAGTTACTAGCCACATCACCTTCTTTTGGGTTGCATGTGCTTCATGACACTAGAAGTGCCATCATGCGGGGTTATGATGTGAATTACTGGGTTTTAAGCATGAAATGATGATGAGGCTATGCGTAACCACACCATCATGCACCCAAAGCCCCCTCGATTTTTATGTGCCTTTGGGAAAAGAAATTAGAACCTTCATAAAGGATGGGAAAAGCCAAATAAATCAACACGAACACGTTCAAAAGTCTAATTATCCAAACGAATTTGATAATGAAAAATAAAATAAAATAAACAATGGCGCTAACATTCTGCACTCCTTTCCCTCTTTTCTTTTCTGATTTTATGGTAAAGAAAAACTTTAACACATTTTTTAACATCCGTCTAAGTATAAGATGGATTTTGCTAATAAAAAGCAGGCTCATATTATATAATACAAGTGTTATTTTTTATTTTAATCGTTGATTTTCGCTCATTTAATGGTTATAGTTTAGGAAGTCATACTGATTAATTAATTATAAATTACATTAAAAATGATAATCATTGATTTTCGTCCATCAATGACTGAAATGAGGAATAAAACTTTTATATGTTACTTTAGAGTCAAAAGAACCCTCCTATATAATAGAGTTAGTATGAAATTTCATATAATCAATTACAGCTTTTTATTAAAGTGTATTTTCAAGTAGGTGTGCTTTTTTGTATATCCATAAAAATAAAAGCGTAGGCAATTTTAAGATTCCGTATCCATGTGGTTAAAGGAGTTATTTCTTAGACTCTTTCCTTGTTTAGCTCTAGACGTGATGATTGCATGAGTTCAAAATCATGTGAAGATAACCAAGGAGTGCATATAAGAAAGGGGGTCAAAGAACAAATAATCAGAAGCACAGAATATACCAAGATAGGGCCCTTTACAGTTTCTCTTCTTTGATGGCCACTTGCCTAAGTAATATGTGCAACCAATTATTTGGGAGCAATGAAGTCTTCGGCGACCTTTTATATGCTACTAGTATATCAAGGAGTAATGCACACATCGCTCACAATGATGGCAAGGATTCATCCAAAAGGGACCACAAATAAAGGATATGCGACTTCACTCAAATAGTCCCTTTTTTTTTTTTTCATGTGTAAATTCCGAGAACGATTGGATGGGGCTAAGGATTTATTCAGTTAGCTGACCGCCTCGGTGCCAAATGTTTACTAATTTGGTTAGGATACCATATGTTTGGACGTGAACACCAATGTCCAGCAAGGGCGCTAGTAATTGTATATGCGAAGCAAGTGGAAGAGACAACTAACAATCGTGGGTCTAGCATCTCTAGTCAAAGTCCGATGGATAAACAACAAAAGGATGTGTGCGTGAATTCTGGGAATGGTAAGAGCTTTGAGACTTGAAAGGGTTGTGGGAGCATGTATTTATATAGGTTTGGTACTTGATCAGAACAAGTTTTTATAACTGGACCGGTGGCGGATCCAGAAAATTAATGAAAGGTGGGCACTCAATAAGTGCAAGTACATATAGATCTAGGTCTGGTCTGGAACGCGATTTGCGAGCAGGTGCCGACTGGCTGAGTCTGGTTTATATCTAGATCTAGATTAGGTTTTGATAATGAAGGTGGAAGAGACAAAACTTACGGGAAAATAAAATAGGAGTTAAATTAATTAAAGGGGTAGGATATTGTAACAACCAACTAGGGTTACTACCAATCAATTTCACCGTTAGATCGATTATGTTGATCCAACGGTTATATTCATTTTCATCTTTGTAAGGTAATGATCCCCATATTTAACGTAAAATCATTAAATATGAGAAATCATAACCATACAAAGGTGAAAATAAATAAAATGCATTAAATATGGGGAATCATAACCATACAAAGATGAAAATTAATATAACCGTTGGATCAACATAATCGATCTAACGGTGAAATTGATTGATAGTAATATTGGTAGTAACCCTAATTGGTTGTTATAATATCCTACCTCGAAATTAAATTGGAAAAAATTGAATTTTAAGGTAAGGGTATTTTTGTATTTTTACATCATATTTTAAGGGTGGGCACTTGCCCCCTTCTCATGTACCTGGATCCGCCTCTGACTGGGACGATCATGTGATATTCCTCTACACAGTCTGGAACCGCCTTGGGTCAGAGCATCTTGCAGTTGGGCCGCTTTATCCTATGGGTCTTCTATGGAATGCGATGGGGGGTGTACCTGCAAGACACTCCGACGCTTAAGTCAGTTATGGTTCAAGTAGATTTTTTTATGTAAAAGAAGATGATGTACCTTAGTGTTGATACATGTATTTATAGTGGAGAGATGTTCAGCTTGGAGGGTGCCTTTCTTCATGGTGAAGGCAAAGGTTCCTTTCTATTGGTTCTTGTGGGTGGCTGAGATAAGATGCAGTTTGCTTGTCTTGGTGCCAAAGTACTAGAGCTGCTATGTTTAATGTTGAGGAGCTTAATGAGATAAGGCCATTAATTTATGCAGCTTGATGATTGTCATGGAGCTTACTGTTATAGATGAGATAGCAGCTTGTGGAGTTTGTTGTATGTCATGGTGCTTTTAATATTATGGAGCTTGCAGCCTTCTTGGACTAAGGCTTTGCTTCATTGTGAAGGCTTTTGATTTGGGCCTTGTATTTATATAATATTTATCCAGATCTGTACTGTACATGTATTTATATAGGCTTGTGGGAGCAGTTATTGTGGGAATCATGACCTTAGAGCACTTTCCCATAGGGTAATCAAGAGTATCAGAGAATAGGAGGAGGATCGTTGGTGTAGAGCCATGACCCGGGTTGAAGGGCTGAAGCCCTAGCCAGAGAGGTCTTCCCCAGGTGAGAAGCCCATCATGGACCCGAGCCCAGTATTGGGATCCGGGGTCATACCTGAAACACCATACTCCGTCAAACTTTATCCCCTCCCTCCTTTTATACACAAACAAAAGTATGGGTGATGAATAAGAAGTGAAAATGCAAGAAATAAAGGGGATATAGGAAGTGGGGATTTAAGTAGTTTCACATAGGAGGAAAAGAGAGGAGGATAAGGCTTTATAAAACCTAGTCTCACTCCCCTTGATTTCCCCTATATTTGTGAGTTTATTCTATATTTTGTGTTGTTCAAAAAAATGTAGAAGTTACTTGATTCACCACACATGTGCGCATTGCTGTCGGCCAACTCGGCACGACACAGTTGGCTGTTGTGCTCGTGGGAATAATTTTTTATTCAAAATTATTTTCATTTTTATTTGAAATGCCCCAACCTTATTTCAAAAATTTCAAACTTGTTCTTAACTGTCTCAACGGTTTTCCCTCAAACCATCGCAACTTTTTGTCGTTCCTCAAACCGATAGGACGCTTCTGTTTGTCAGTCCAATTTCAGAACCGACCAGGAATAAATCTTTGGTACTACTGTTGTACCATAGATTCAGTGTATCCCACCAATGAAAATATTACATGTCAGTTAAAATTATTTTTTTTCTGTCAAATTTTTTTTCTCTCCTCTGATGTGTAATGCTTTCATTGATGAGATGCACTTAATCTAGGTACAACAGTAGTACCAAAGATTTATTCACCGACCAGACACAACA